ATTACCCACCCATCCCACCCCGGGGAGGAAATCCATCACACAGTAATCTCGTGTGTGGGAAATTAATGTCTCCTACCCCAACCCTGCAGGAGACGGGACCTCCATTTATCGTCCCTAGCTGAGAAGACTAGAAAGTCTAACCATTTGCAGATGTTATTACAAAGGCAGCACTTTCTCCATACTGTTCTCTTTTCATTTCCTTAGCTGCTGACAAGGAGACTTGGTTAAACAATCATGAGCTTCTGTAGTTGGTGATCATTTCCTTTATTCTTGTTAACTTAATGTGTGATTCAGGAATGATATTGTAAGGAGAAATTAGATGCTAATCATTCTTAAGGATCAAAGGGTCAAGATGTGCTACCAAGGAACTACTTCGTGACTTGCAGTAGCTTAAGTTTACCTCTGAAAAGTCTCCCTCCTCTGCTGCAGAAATGGCATTTTGAGCAATATAATTCCTGAGGATAAATCTGAAAGATAAATATGAACTATAGGAAAGCTGGCCTGAAAAGAAATAATAATAACAACAAAAAAAAAAGCAGGGAGTAGGAGCAAGTGCAAATAAGGGGAGGGATGGTATGTGGGAGGGGAAAAGAAATGGGGTAAATGCATTGTCAAGTGGAAAGTGGAAAAGAAATGAAGACATTTGTGGATGATATGAGCAATAAAGAGCTAGAGATGGATTAGGAGACAAGGTAGCCAGGTATGGTGAGAAGAAGAGTATCAAATATGCTGATGTGATTTAAAAAGTGGAAAACATATGCAACTCAAAGTAGAAGCCATTAACAGTAGGAAAGCAATCTTTATATCATGCTGTTCATTTATAAGAACAACTCTTTCTTTTCCACTGATCATAAAACTACAGCTGAATAACTTAATATTTGATAGCCCTCTTGTGATGAAAGAAAGTCCAGATTTACCTTGGATTATTGGATTTCATTGCTTCAATTCGCTCCTTGTTTGCCTTAAAAAAGAAAAAAACACACATACACAAACCAATAGAAAGTTAAAAGAATCATGAGCTGATTTTGATAACTTGTGGGCTTAAAAAAACATACCAACAAATAAATTACAAGAATCAGCTGATGAATTGATAACTTGTGGTTGACAAAAAGGAACCTTAAATTTTCAACAAAGTTACACATCAAATCAATTTGATAATTGTGATAAAATATAAATAAAAACTTTTATTTAACCAGCAGAAAAATTCTTGCTATCAATTCTAGAGGTTAGACCAGATAACTAAAAGTGGGATGTATTTTGCACAAAACAATCAATCTTAAGTTCATCAATCATCTATTTTTTGTAATTAAAAGTAATTTACAATTTAAATATTTCATACTTTCTCATGATCTGGTTCATTTTCAAAATCTGCATTAAGGCGCAGCCTGAAAACAAATTAAAAATAACCAGTTATGATAAGAAGATGGAGGGGGGGAGGGGTGGAGAGGGAGAGGGCAGGGTGGAGTGGGAGGGAGTAGGATGACATCTAGGGACATGAAATGTGCTTGTAGCTTTTAAAATTTTTAAATAATGATAGCCATTCAACTTCAGAATTTTCCTTATGGATCTTTGATCACATTCTTACTGACAACCATTCCAATTTTCCAATTTCCCAAAGTTGTATCTGTCAGTAATAAATTCACTCCAAAGCCTTGCTCTGATTGATTTATTACTTTTTGATACGTACAAGAATACTGAACTTACAAAATAACATTTTATTCTGTACCTGTATTGTTCAATCCAATCTTTCCACAGTTGCCTGTCTTTGCTTCTTTTTTCCTCAGGTTTTAACTCCTGAAATAACAAATAGGCAAAGAAATAATTTAGCAAAAGCACATAAAACTATAACGGATTAAAATAAGATGAAAATTTGACTCCCAAAAATTAAAATACTGTAGTGAGTGAGGTATCTTACATTCATCTGCTGAACCTTCTCTCTCCTGTCCAGCTCCTTTTGAATTAAAGATGCTCCGTTTCCTAATTGCTGCAGGAGACTAGGACTAGTCTGAAGAAGCATCATCAACATCTGAAATTCCCTAATTTACAAAAATAATAATTCGTTTTTAAAAGTCCCCTCTCCAAGTGGGCTAAATCTGTATCTAAGTGGTTCATTAAAAATGAAATGATAAAAAAAACCCTCCATTCTGAGGGAAATATATTGACAGAGGTAAAAGTATATCAGAGAGAGCACAAAACTTTCAAATCAGTTACAACCCTGGTAGCTCAAATTTGAGGGAAATAATCATAAAACCAATGGCCTGTAGAACAAAAAGGTCTAAGCATACCTTGCTCCAAGGAATGGCTTTGAAGTTTTCTTCAAGTCATCTACAGTTTGACATTGGGACAATAAGTACTCCAGAACATTTTCATCACTAAAAGAATTAATAATGATCATTTTCAGGTTACAGTCAATCCAAGCTAGTATGGGTGGATTGCGAGCCAAAATGAAAAAAGAAAACATATTATGAGTGTTTTGAATATTAAATGTTTCTTATTTGAACAAGAGCTACAAACTAAAGCATACAATTACTAGCTAATAGCATCCATATCACTTAATATTTAAAAAGAGATATTGAGAATCTCCTACCTGTCATCACCTACAGCGCTACTTTCCAAAGAAATTCTATGGAGGCATCTAAAACAATTTGTAAAATCAGCACCTGGAGAGAGGAAAAGAATAGATTTTAAAACAATTTCAAATTTTGTTTCACAGATTAACCCTCTCAAACAAAGTGATTTTCTGTGTTAGAAATAAACTCAAAATGGTTTTTGACCTGTCTTGTGCATGGTTTCCAAAAGACTTTTTACCAGGTCCCTGGGAAGCAATTTAAATTCACAAATTGATCAAAAACTATGAACTATTACTAATACCATTAAATGCAGTGATTATCAAGATAAGTGTATTCTGACTAGTCAACCATTACATTATAATCATCCTCTACCAGATTATTTAACATTGATGCAATCTTTAGAAGCAATTGGCCAGTTTTTAGGTAACATTTTATACATTCAATAAGATGGATTTGTAACGATGCTGTGATGTCATAGGCCCTTCGGGCATACACAGTAGAATGAAAGGGTATCCCGGATGTCGTTGTTGTTGTATTACACCTAGTAATGGCGGAGTTTATGAGACTTATTAAAAACCGTTGTGTTGCCATCTTTCTTGTACCCATTTGGACTACGCCACAGGATTGACATGCAATAACTTTTAACTAAGAATAACAGTACTGTTATGAGAATTTTTAATTAATAATTACATTCACTTACTCATCCTCTGGTAGATCCTTCTTTAATAAGCCAAGCTAAAATGAAAAATATAACAAGCAAATTTTGTTTAAGACACATGTTACCTGAGATGTTCAGTCCACATCTTCCACTTAAAGCCTTGTAAATATAGAAACTGTTTTGAATTGAATCATCACTTAAAAATGCTTTTAACTGACTCGTGTATTCTGAACCTGCCTTTAGTCTCATTTTACCCATGTACGTTTGCTGGTACTCGACATCATAACTGAAAAAGAATTCAATAAACAATATAAGTGTCTGTTTTAAATTCACTTAATGGGAAAATTTTAAATCACATAATGAAGTAAAATAACAGTTTTTCACTAATTTCTATGCTCTATACTTACATCTCTTCCACTGCAGCCTTTGACCTTTCCAAAGGAAGTACATCTTTAATAGCCTCTCCTAGCTTCAACAAATTCCATTTGCAGATCTCAGGTTGAGCCTCGTATCGGTACCTGCCTTGGTCATCTATTGAGAAAGTTTGATTATAAATCCTGACTATTCAGTCAGCTTTCTATCCTTCTGTGGTACTAGCACTAGCACTTCCTACTTTTTAGGAAAGTCTGATGCACATGTAAAAAAATTTTACTTGTGCGCCAAACCCAGGGACTGCTTGTGGTCTACTATCACTCCCACACTAAATCTTAATGCTAAATATATAATCATACTAAGTTCACAAAGCAATAGTACTGTTACAGAGGCCTGGAGATAAGAGAGGAGAAAAAATCAGACAAGGAAAGTCTGATTATATCAAAATGTACAAGACATAAAAACAGCCCCAAGTTTTGTTCAGGCCTTATTTTCAGTACTACTTGAGAAATTTTCATTTCTGCAAGGATCACTTTGAATTCATATAAATCAAAATGTGTCTAAACTAAAGGAAGATGTTAATATCAGTTTGTTGTGACAAGCATGGGGCAAAGGAAAAAGTTTACATCCCCTATCAGGAATCAAAACTCCAACCTTCAGATATCAAGGTCCCCTGTTCTACCACACAACTACAAATAACTTGCTGGTGAGCCCAGAAATTTATGGGATTAGACTAAGTGTGTGACTGTCAGAGAACTACAATAAAGGGATTATAATACATGGGTGGCATATAATTACTTATCAAGGTTACAAATACACATTAGAGTTACTGTAATACCTGATGCATTGCAGACATGCTCAGGATCATAATGATCCATAAATCCAAAGGGACCATAATCAATTGTCAAGCCAAGAACACTCATATTATCTGTGTTAAGCACCCTGGGTCAAGAAAATGTTAAGATTTTTTTCAGATTGAAAAAAAGATAAACATGAAAAGTGAACTTCCAGACTTGGTGTTAAAATAAAAATCACCCTTACCCATGACAAAACCCTACACACTGCCAAAGGGCCACAAGTCTTGCAGTAAGCCTAACAACTTCTTTAAAGAAAGCTAAGTATGCCTCCTCCTTATCACCTGTGACAACCTGTGGAAAAAAAAAAACCACGACATAAATAATTGGAGTCAGATTTAAGCATATAGTCTCTTTGCTAGGCTCATCCTGGGTGGTGAGTGATTTCTACAAGTTAACAACTATTTACCCATAAACTCCCATGACCAAATTGTTTACTCTTGTCTCATAGCTGCTACATATTTATTTCCTTTAAAATTAATTACAAGAATTTAGTGTAGGTCAAGATAACAACCTCTACCTGATGAGTTTAAATATTCTCATTACATGTTTGCTGGATAATGTATAGATATTAAAGGGAGAAGTTACATGTTGATCACCCACCATAACAAATCAAAATGACTGTACCTGTGGAAAAAATGTTTGAACTGTATAATCAAGAAGCTGAATGAGAATATCTGTACGTCCCTCACTTGGGCCTTTGCGTCCAGTCATAGGGTCTGTTGGTTTAAATATCTCAAACGAACCAAACCTTCCAATCAAATGAAATTAAAATAAGATAAGCATGTACCCCAAGACAACCAAGATGGTCTGAACTGTGCAAAAATACATCCACATTACCTTATGAATGTTGGGGCAATCCTTAAAATAATGGTACACCTTTCCCTGATAGGGTTTCCATCGTAAAATATGTCTCTGGTTATTCTTGTATCTGAAGTCACACAGCTACCAGCTGCAAATAAAGAGACTAGTGTCAATTCTATAGGGGAATCCTTGTTTACAATATTTGCCTCATTAGCATAAGCAATTCAGTTTCTGATGGAGCTAAAACTAAATCAGTTCTGAATATCGAAAGGTCAAAGTACGATTAACTCGGCCAATGAATACAAGCCTAATGCATTGAATACTTTTTGTGCAACACGGGTTTAAAGACTCAAAATTTTACATAGAATGTATGAGCCATTAGCGCTTTTGCCACCCAGAAATTTTGCAGTTTTTGATGGACTATTTCTCCTTGAATATTACACCCAAAGAGCTAAAAACTTCACCATGTACTAAGGTTTTCTAGCTCTTTAGCTGCCTGAAGTCAATTTGTATCTAACATGCTTCCTTCTTTACGCAAAGCCGTATGCAAATGAGCAAAAATGTAAACAATGACGTCAGCATGAATCCGCCTATAGATTAGATAAACAAAGACTTAACTTAAAACAATTTACTCTTCTCCTTTCTAAATTTCAAAACAAAATAATGAGAAGAAAAAAAAATTGTTCAAAAAAATGTGAAGACTCTTTAAATTACCTCTTGTAGTTGGAATCCCTAAAAAGTGCATTGCCTACATAAATATGAAAGAAACTTTTAGTATTAACCTAATCAAAATGATTAATATAAATGTTGTGGTAATACTAATTTCAAACGTCTCCTGCATCTATTAATTAGTTAATTTGGTTAGGCAGGGGACGTTAAAGAACCCACTCACGAGATTACTGTGATGTGGTCTGGCCTGTTTACTGGGAATTGGGGGGAGGGGGCATTTTCAAATAAGTTTCCTTTGATTGTTTGTAAACTGCTGATGCAGTCAGGCCAAAGTCCCCCAAAAAGTGTTGTGATGTGCATTTGATCATATCCACATGTTGATTTGCACAATATAAATATTAAATTATTATGTTTATTTATAAACATAATTTTGTCATGTGTTAGAGTGTTTATACCACCAACTGCATGTCTCAACTATGGTCAATAATTAAATAATCAATCAAGACTATTAAATTCAAAACAATTATAATGACTCGTTTAACTTTAGTTAGTAATAACAGTATTGTTCATTATCACTGTACTACTATTAATACATTTTCTCAAAAATCAGGTCTGTTCTTGCATGACAAACCGCAAGAAAACTCTTCTAATTACGGATCAAACATATTATTTAATAGTTCATTATTCAAATGTCATCACCTCACTGCAAAGAAATTCTCGTATGCTGGACCGCAGCACTTTTCTTCCATCTGCCTGTCTAGAATAAGGTGTGAGACCTGCACCCTTAAACTGCATCTCCCACCTCTCTCCTCTTTCATTCACCACCTCACCAAGATACCTGAAATACATAACAAATAAATAAATGAATGAATGCACAAACAAATAAATGAATCAATTAATAATCTAACATAACATAACATCAACTTTATTTCAACACAATACGTGTTTAAAGCTTTGCGCTTATGGGGTCATGCATTTAAACTAGTCCTGAAACTAATATCTATTACTAACTTACATACAAAATAAAAGTAAGATTACTTATAGGTAGTTAATAATTATAAAAATTTGTACAATTTTATGTGATATAATCTGCATAAGATATCATTAAAAATAAAAATAGTCTTGATCACAAAAATTAACTTTGAGGCAGATGTTACCTTAAAATGAAAATCTTTAAATTCAACAATAAAGAAAGATATGGAAAAAAGGACCTACAGACAGACACTCTTGGCTAAACAACGTTGCAGGAACATATCAGTAAAACATTAAATCTTGAGTAACATAATGATTATGAAGTTTTGTGAAAATCTCTCATATGTTACTTTGGCTGGATTTCTGTCCTCATTATCATTCCCACGGATTTGCAGCTACACTGTGGTACCAAATTCTCTTGCAGAGAAAAATATAAATCATGTCACACACACAAGATACATTTGCTACTTTCACTTGTCTGTAGGATATCTCAAGAGCAACCTCTATATGCAGTAAAAATGTAAGGAGAGGCAAAATGATTACAGGGCCCTGTCATTGTGAATTGTCGGCAAGTACATGTTTCTGCCATCCTCTGAGTTTGCAACTGAATTTTTAAGGGGGTTGTGAAAGTTTTATACTGAACTAATCAGAGAGGATGTTAGAGGAATTAAACC